AAATAAAATAACACAATAAAATTCTCACGACGTTTCGGCCACAACACAAGTGGCCTTCATCAGGTGAAGGGACTGGACTGTCCAGAGGACAGCGTTAGAGTCTAAGCTTAAAGGACGCGACCTGGGCTTGGCTGTCTCCACTCCAACGCTGTCCTCTGGACAGTCCGGTCCCTTCACCTTTCGCAAACTGTTTGTTGATAACAAATCTCACGGTGGCTGACAAGGAAGGGGGCCCGACTCGTAGCTCGTTACGCTGCTGCCCTCGCCTCGTGCCCCCCCACTGCGGTTGCTCGCCACGGGCACTGTCAATAATTTAAAGGGCTCGAGTCAGGAACAATTCGTCATTGAGAAGCACCTTTTCGAAATGCCCTTCCCAGCCACGTCCGTGATACGGGCATTGGCCTGCCGATGTGTGTTTTTTTGAGTCCCGACTGCAGATTAACTTCTACTCCAATTCTTTTGAAGCAAAGGACCAATTACTTTGATGCAATCTATTTAACCCCTCCCCCCCCAACGGATTCTGTTGTCTTGTTATTGGATTGCACATTTATTTATTTATCCTTGTTTTGTATGGCGTGCTTACATTTTCAGTACGCACAGCAAGCACCTTGCAATGCGTCAGGGGTCGGGATTGAACCCACATTCCTCCTGTGTAACGGGCGTGGAAGTCGGGGGGTCACGGTCACCAGATGTTAGCTGCCTCGCTCGCCCGATTGTGGGATCAATGCCGACCCTGACGCCTGCTGTGTACTTGGAGTTGACGGGCCTCTCTCCTCGTGGTGGTGTTTTTTTTTTGTCCCCTCCGGTTCTGCCGGGTTTCCCCTCCGCATTTATACAATCAACGTGCGTTTAGAGAATTTGACTGCTATTATTGTACACACGATATATCAACTTGGTTGAGCTACCATTTGTGGCCAGGTCGCTTCTGAAAAAGAGCTATACAGCTCAGTGGACCTTACCTTGTGGAAAAAAAGGAAAATATTTAAAACGCTTCACCAACGCGGAGCCCTAAACAACACATTGGTACCACTACCCCCCCCCCCTCCATACGTGCTAGCAGTGACCGAACATCTCAGCTCTCAACTAAAAGGAGATAGCATTTGAGGAAATGTGGCATCCCTTTATCAACATCCGCCCCCTGAGAGGCTGCTTGGGAGAAAGAGACGGAGATAGGAGATAAGTAATATTAAAAAAAAAACTTTTTTTTAAACACGCTTTAATAAAATGTACCGTACTAGCAATGGAAGAACTCCACGACTCCAGGAAGTGGCTTGCCACAACGTAAGGGGCCCGTGGTCAATTACAGCCAACGTTAGCTGAGCGTGGACAATTAGACCCAAGCCAAAACATAACATATAAAAAATAATGTTTTAAAATATGTGTTTTTATTTTTTATGATAGAATATAGTATTGTCATTAGTATGACATAAGTATACCAAGTTTGCAGTCGATATCACATCGGGAAGTGGGTAAAATTTTAGTTACAAGATTTGAGAATACAACAACAACAGACAGAGTGAGTGAATAAAAAGCGTGTAAAATAAAATAAATCGGTGAATCGCCATCAAAAAAAAGACTGCCTCCTTCCGATAGTGAGGAAGCCGTGCACTTTTAATCTCGACTGAAAACTTGTTTCATGAGAACCTGCTTGTTGTTGTGTTTTAGTTCGATTAGCGCGGTTGGCTACGTACGGTGCGAAAGAAGTTCAACGTACGTGTCCATACAAACTAGTTATTAGGAACGAAGTTACCCCCCACCCCCCCTTTTTTATTTAGTTCTCTCTGTATAGCCCCCCCACACCTTATACTTAACCATAAAATGACCCCCACCTTCAAAGACCAAGAACCCCCGGATAGCCTTAACAGATTGTTGGGGCAAGTGCCGTTTAGCGAGCACACATTGAAAGGCCGGCATCGCACCAGGCACTCATTTGAGGCCGAGTCGACCAAGAGGAGGCAAAAGGAAACGGTTCAGACAATCGTCACCGGTGTTGGCGGCCGTGAGCGGGAATCGAACTCGGGTGGCCGGGTTCGCAGCATGCCGACCGCCCCACGCACCCTGCAGGGGAAATCGCGACCCCAGAGAGGGCACGGAGCATCCATCGCCGAACGTTCTTTCACTCGTTTGTAGATTCTAGATTTGAAGCTTTCATGACTGCAAGGATTCATGCTCTTTGTTTTTTTCGGTAAAGTCACGTGGGTAAAATTAAATAAATGAAAACAACTCAATTAAATCACGACGTTTCGGGGGCAACACAAGCTTCCGTCTTCACTTGATACAGCAAAATTTTGCTGTATCAACTGATACAGCAATTTTGCTGTGACGGAAGCTCGTTTGTAGATTTTAACGTGACAGGGCACGCGCACAAGTCTGGCTTTACACCGTGTCTCATGTCACACGACGTTCCTCAATGTCTATGCGCCATTTTCTACATTTGCCACAGACGCTACTGCTTGCAGCTATTTCCTCCACGTGCTCCCCAAATCCCTCGTTTCCTCATTGCACGCGATTCGAACTGCCACTGCCAGATTCCTCGTTCGCACTGTAAACAAGAGCCCAGTCCTCGAATTCTACAGCTGGCTCCCAATCCAGTGGCAGATGAACTTCAAGATGGCACTCACCATCTCAAGGATCTCACATGGACTCACCCCTGCTAACGTCTCCAATCTCATCTCGCTCTACTCCCTTCCACACACTCTACTATTTCTCACCTCTCAACTCATTCTACTTCCCTCCACGCACTCTCCTACCTCTCACGTCACTCCACTCCCCTCCACGCACTCTCCTACCTCTCATCTCACTCTACTCCCCTCCACGCACTCTCCTAACTCTCCCCTCTCATCTCACTCTACACCCGTCCACGAACTCTCCAACATTTCCCTTCTCAGTTTAACACGTAGGCTTTCGCGACCAATATTATTCATAATAAAGGTTTGTGGGTTAGATCGTGTTATGGACATACGGGACGTAACATCAGCATACGACTAAAAGAACATCAAAGAAATATTAAATGATCTCAAACACAACTGTCGGCAGTGGCAGAACATACTTGTCAACAAGGACACTCAATTGATTTTGATAACGTTGAAGTGTTGTGTAAAACTAATTATTACTGGCAAAGACTAATTAGAGAATCCATTGAAATTGAGAGGAATAGAAATAACTTTAATCGCTCTGACAGCTACAGGCTTAGTGCGGCTTGGAAGCGTATTATTAAATAATACATATTACAATTCCTTATAGGGGAAACACATACTAATTAACGGATTACTAACGTAGCATATAATCACAATAACACAAATTACAACTAATTAATAGTCTACAACTCATTACTAATCATAACCATTGACTGATTACCAATCGATTATATAATTATAATACCCCCCCCCTCCGCCTCAAATCACTGCACCTGAAATGAGTTAAATGATGATGTCACCCTGCTGCTCTATTTAAGACCGGGAGCAAGCGAGGGCTTTACCATTCTGGCGACTTGCCCGATGATGCTGGATGTAATTACCAGCGAAACGTCGTACTCAAACTGTAAATGTTGTGGATTCACTCTTCAACACACCGGTGGGCTAAAGTAGTGAACTATTTGTCTTTTGTCAACGTGACACTTTTTTTGCTGATTGGCCGTGTCGGGTGGTGGAGGGTTACGACACATTTATAAATAACGCGATCTAACCCAAAACCTTTATTATGAATTTCCCTTCTCAACTCACTCTACTCCCCTCCACGCACTCTCCTACCTCTCTCTTCTCATCTCGCTCTACTCCACGCACTCTCCTGCCTCTCCCCTATCATCAAGGTTGTGCCTGTGTTGAACCAGTGGTGCTGAAATGATGCACTCCAAGGAGGCCGTGTGGCTGACGGGACGTGCAAATAATATATGCTTTGATACGGAAAGACAGATATGGAAAGGAAGCATGTAGTCAGCTTATTTGCGTAAATTCTATTCTCCACAATGCTGTATGTTATTTTGTGATATTTTTTTCTCCCAAAAACAAGGTCGTTTACGTCTAAAAAAACCGGGTTTCCCACAAATTCCACATTAAAACATTGCCAGTGATGCATCATGATTTCTGTGTTATGCCTTTACATCTTCACGCACATCCCTACATGGTCTATTTACCCAAGTATTTTCCAGCTTTCACCTCCAGGCATTTGTCATAAACACTGTGGCGTTAAGGGAAACTATATATAATGGGCGACATTTTACATTTTTTTCAATTTGTGTTATTTTTAACACGTAAGGCCCACTGTACTGTATAGCTTTTTTTTTCAAAAGCTACCTGGCCACAAATGATAGTCCAAAGTGGCCAGGATATCATCGTAGTGGGGGGGTAACGTTGCTGCGTCAGAGTCCCACGTGTGTAAGCTGCAATGAAACGTTTCAGCATGGGTGTGTTTGGCCAACACCGCTTGCATTGCACGAGTTTTTCCTGTAATCTATGCGATGAAAGCGAAGATCCCAGAGGGAAACCCGTAGACTAAGGGGAGGGGGGTGAGCACATACAAACCCCTCGCAGAGAGGCGCTCGAGTCAGGAATTTAATCGAGGGCCCTTCGTGCTGTGAGGCACGGGTGTTACCCCCTGCCGCCCATAAGCACAATTGAAACCACTTGGTTTCTGAGTTCACCTTCACGCACAAGCGCTTGCATACATCTTGTGAACTGTTCTTTTCAGAGTGTAACACCGTGCATTGATACTGATCGGTGCGGGATCCCATTCTGCCCCTTCTACACACGTGCACGTATGTACGTACACATGTACATAGATACGTACTTGTGAGTGCCGGATTATCCTAGCAGCACAAGTAGCTACATATGTAGTAGCTACGGGCCCCGCACGTTCAAGGTACCCCGCGCTAAACGCTTTCAAGCTATCGATTCCGGTTCAGTGATTCTGCACTTGCTCTATTACTATAGTACTATGCCGCCTTCAACTTTTATGAACTACTGGGTGTTTAAGGTGAGCGATTTGTCGTATTATCTGGCTGTGTAGAAAATAAAAACATACAATTGCTTCATTATGCAAGTAAAAAAATGTGTTTTAATATTAAGTTGTATTTATTTAGGGCCCCTTTATAACAAATGCATACAGGCCCCGCACTAGCTTAATCCGGCAACTGACGTACGTACGGACACATACGTACTTGTCTTTGTGTGTGGGTGTCCTAACGGCACTCGAAGCTTTCCCCTGTCTTAGCAAGGCCTGTGACCACATGAGAATCATTTGGTGCAGAAAGCCAAACAAGTTCTTTGAACGAAAATAAAAAAATATTTGCGTTGTGGAAAATATTGTTGAAAGGTTATGCAAGAACATCTCCTTCCTCTCTTTGTCTCTCCACATCAAAATCTAATTTTTTTTCACATAAATCACATCGGCCACACGGTCTTCTGCGAGTGCATTTCATCAGCAGTTTTGGTTCAACGCACCTCCGATTAGCATGGTTGTCTACGTACGTTGTGAAAGTTCAACCTGCACATGAAAAACCCTTATCAGCAACCACAGGCTTCCTAGACACCAATGATAGCTCGAACCCCCAACTAATAGGCCATTTCCTGGCTTAAAAAAATGATGGCAGTTCACCACCAAACCCCTTCACTCGCTCTCCTCCAGTGGGCACTGATTCTTAAGAGCATTTATGAGGGCATTTAGGTCCCCCTCATCCCTTTTTTCTTTCTCCTACAGGGGTATCAGAGCTTAAGAAGACCTCACCAGGGTTGTAGCGTTTATTGAAACGTGCGGTTTCAGACAGGCCTCCATTGCACCGTAATCCACAAACTTGTGGGTTTGTGCCGGTGTCAACCGCGGACTTTCATATCCTCCGTGGTTGTGTATCTGAATAATCTTGTTTATAATAAAAACACTTTTGGGGCAAGAGAAAATAAAGCCGGCAAATTCGTGCATTTAATAGGCGACGTTCGTATTTTTACTTTTCACATTCTTGCTCGTGTTCAGTTTTCGTCATCGGCACTGTCCACAACAATAGCACTCGTCCCGTCAGCCTCAATAAATCTCTTGTGTCTAAAACGCGAGCAGCGGCTCATTGTTTAACTCTCGACTTTATTGAGGCAACACGGAGGCGAGTGTAGTGCATCGCTTAATCCGATCATCGCCAGTATTTCCTCTGCACACGCAATCAGAACCTTTATTTACACTGCAGGAGGGAAGTCGGTGAGCTATAAATCTCTGTCTCGCAGATGTCTAGTAAGGGGGGGGCGGGGATCAGAACGTTACAACAAACAATACAAAAACACGATCGGAGTACCAAGTAGAAAAAAGGTGAACCAATCACTTTACAAAAATATAAACGAACAAAAGTTAACTATATATTTTTGTTTACTTACCGGGTAAAGTCCACCGAGCTATATAGCTTTTTTTTATCGACCTGGCCATAAATTATAGCTCAACGAAGTGGTTTGTCGCGTGAAAATTTATAGCAGCAACGTAATCCAAACGCACGTTGATTCTAAATGTAAGTTGTGGGTAACATGTGGGTACATGAACGACTGTACACGATAAAACCCTACATGTTCGTCAAAAAACCGTGACCTGAAAAAAAAGTCTCGGTAACGCTTCAGGCAATGTCACTTTTTTTTCCAGCGCAAAATAACACAGGTTTACAATTGTGTAGACGTCTTCTGCTTCAGAGATGAAATGTGATGTTTATTATGGATTTTGAAGTGACTGAATTAAAATATGACAATTAAAACAACCGATTGGCTACTGTTCCCAAGATATTAACGTTTTTACATTTTACATCTATGTATATTGTGTCGATAGGAGAGATTTACTCATAAATTGTAAACCTAGGTCTTTTCGTGTGTTTATGGTTGCTTTACATGATAATGTCAACTATCCTGTTCATGTAACACTTAAACAAATTAGCAAAAGGGTTACATTAATAAAATGTACTATGAAACAAAAGGCAAAACATTAATAGGTACACAAGTACATATTTTAGTCCTTATTCAGTGTCCACTCGGCGCTTCTTGGCTTGTCTCTTGTATTCAATAAATGGTGCATTTCTTGTCACTGTCGAGCAAAGGTCTGCAAGCATTGATGGGCTCCATTTTCCTTGACAGCGTTTCTCCATTGTTGCAATGTCCTGGGTGACATCGCTCGCCACGCTCGTAGCTCACTGTTCCGCAGTTCGGTGGGAAGAAAATCTAGATGAGCGTGCAAAAAATGTATCTTTAGTGACATGTTGCAACAAAGGCTTTTGTATGCCTTGAGGGGGTTTTCCACCAACTCCCTGTATTTGTCGGCCTTGTTTCTGAGAAAATGTGTTGTCACTAACTGGAAGGCCTTCCATGCCCTCTTTTCCTTGCTACGCAGTGCACTGTCAAATGCATCATCTCGAAGAAGTTCACGAATCTGAGGACCAACAAAGACACCTTCCTTTATCTTAGCTTCACTTAACCTTGGACATTTTTCCACGGAGGTACTTTAAATCTGCTTGTGTTTTGTCCATGGCTTTGACAAAGTTCTTCATCAGACCCAGCTTGATGTGTCAGGGTGGTAACAAAATCTTCCTTGAGTCAACAAGTGGTGGATGCTGAACACTTTTCCTCCCAGGCTCCAAAGACTGTCGGAGTGGGCAATCTAACATTGATGTAGTGGTAATCTCTCGCACGACTATCCCATTCGCGGAGAAAACAGCAGTACTTTGTGTATCCAGTCTGCAGACCAAGCAAGAGAGCAACAAACTTCAAATCGTCACAAAGCTGCCACTGATGTTGGTCATAGTTTATGCACCTCAAAAATTGTTTCATGTTGTCATAGGTTTCCATCATATGGACTGCATGACCAACTGGAATTGATGGCAAAACATTGCCATTATGCAGCAAAACAGCTTTAAGACTCATCTTCGATAAATCAATGAACAGTCTCCACTCAACTGGATCATGAACGATATTGAGGGCTGCCATCACACCATCGATGTTGTTGCAGGCTACAAGATCACATTCCATGAAGAAGAATGGGATAAGATCCTTTTGACGGTCATGGAACATGGAAACCCTAACATCACCTGCCAGGAGATTCGACTGCTGCAGTCTGGAGCCCAACAGTTCTGCCTTACTCTTGGATAGTTCCAAATCCCTGACAAGGTCTTTCAGTTCACCTTGTGTTATGAGGTGTGGTTCAGAGGATGGGAGAAAATCTGGGTCATGTGACCTTGATGGTTCAGGACCAGAAGTTTCATCCTCTTCCTCGTCTGACTCAAGAGAGAATGATTCTGGTGCATCAGGAACCGGCAGTCCTTCTCCGTGGGGTACTGGGCGTATAGCTGATGGAATGTTTGGATAATGCACAGTCCACTTTTTCTTTTTTGACTCACCTTTCCTAACTGGAGGCGCCATGCAGAAGAAACAATTGCTGATACGATCTGTTGGCTTCTCCAAATCATTGTCACTGCAAAAGACATAGATTTCCTTTTTTTGTTCAACCAACCACTGGCTAAGATTTGTTGCACAAGTGTTGCAGCATATGTGTGGGGCCCACATCTTGTCCTGATCTCCAAATAATAAGAATATTATTAATGACCAAGGTATTGAAAGAATGTTAGTTGTGAGGACACAGAAATCAATGTTTTTATATTTTGAAGGAGATTATAAAAATGACATGATTATATGTACGTGAGTTTAGTGAAAGAAGAGAGCAATATCAAAGTTAGTTGTTTGCACACAAACAGTATAAATGTAAGTATTATCAAGGTGGTTATATAAAAAAGTTTTCTATGAAGGTGAGTTGACAAATAATAAATAAAATAATGATGACAAAGCGATTGCTAAAAGATTAGTTGTGAGTAGGCAAACAAAAACAGTATTCTGCACACAAACATAGTTAATGTAATACTATGAAGGTGATTATTAAAAAAACTGGGTTTCTAGCAAGGTGAGGTTAGGGAAAGACGCAAGGAAATGGTACTTAACATTGCCGTGGTGAGGCCTCGTCCCATGCAGAGCCCCCGTCCTCGCCTAGAGCGCGCAGCCGGCCGAGGTGTCCCCTTGGCAGGCTGGGGGCTGGGCCGCTCCCCTCGGCCGCGCTACAATAATACTATCTAAGCGCTATAATAATAGATATCTAAGGGCTCTATAGTAGTAACAGGACGCATTGGGGTGGGGTGGGGAGAAGAGGACATCACACTGTGAAGAAACAACCTCAGCGTTTTTTTGTGTGATTTAGGTGCATGTTTAACGCGAATGAAAATTTGTGCCGATCGTGCGCGCGTTGCTAGGGGCAACCGCTGTCAGCAGTGCAAAGTGTAATGTTATAAATGCTTATAATACTAATGTGTGCAACTTACCTTGTAGAGTGTGCAGGCGGATAAAAAAAAAGGCCGCACACCTCCGGCGAATGCGCGTGTGGGTTGCTAGGGGCTAACCGTGATGATGTTGCGGGCGTGCGCAGTTTGCTGCGTTGTCCCGCCACGAGCGGTGAAGGGAAACAAATTATAGTGAAACTAAATAAATAAGTATAGAAAAATTGCAAAAAAGCACTATTTAAACTAATTTCAAGGTGACGGACGGGAAAAGGAACTAGCGCTTGCCCACCGCGGGGCTTACGGCGTAGTACCTTGCTAATTTGTTTTAACGTAAACCCCACCGTTGCAGAGACCAAATCTCTCGCAAGCGTGCGCAGACAGACAAAAAAAATATTTTATAGGTAAGACTAGCGGGAAGTACCCGGCGTTGCCCGGGTGAAATATATATTTCAAAACTTCTCTTAAAACCCTTACATATACATACACAGAGAGTAAGCAATTGTGAAAGCCCGGCAGGCCGTTTGTCCATTTCTCCACCAAAAAAATGATAAGAGGCTTGCAGAAGTCCAAAAAGTTATAGAAAGTGGGAGGGTAAATAGTTGATCTAAAAGTTTTGCGAAAATTGTCGACCCCCCCCCTCCGCGTAGGTATATATATATACCTACACACCCTACATTAAACACAGTAATATCTATTGAGGGGGACTGAATGAACTCGCCGACTGCCTCCCGTCAGGGGGCGACTGGAGCGCCTTCACCTGGCGCTTCGAGGCGGCTTACCAGTCGATAAGGCCTATACTGTCGTATCTCACCTTTATGGCAGGGAATTTGTGGTTCGCTCAGTACTCCCTCAGAGTAGACCAGCCCTCTGGGCAGCTCTCGCGGTGGCTGGAGATTCTCCAGGAGTACTCGCTCCGAGTGATGTACCGTTTAATGAACGCCGATGCGTTGTCCCTTTTGCCTCCAGGCAATGGTTGTGCGAGTGCATCGGGCGCGGGTCGTTGTACACCTTCGGTGGCAAGGCCCTCGGCTATCATGGCTGCGCTTGAGGGAGTGGAGCCCGCCAAGGAGGTCGCGCAGGGGGATAGTGTTTTGCACCTTTCGCGTGCCGAATGGTATTGCAATTGGAAGATGTGTCCCTTTTGAGCTTGCGGCATCAAGCGGAAGCTGGATGGAAGGGGTCCGCTCCCTCTCTGATGGCCTGCGACCGGTCCTAAGGGACGGTCTTTTTTTTGTATGATGGATGAGGATGGTTCACGCTGTCACCGTGTCGTAGTTCCCACTGCACTCCGAGGCAAGCTGACTCGGGGGGGGGGGGGTGCACGAGGGCAAGTTGTTACACCTTGGGGTGCGGAAAACGTTGCTAACGTTGCAACGCGATTATTATTGGCTGGGGATGTCGAGCGACATGCGCCACTTCATTCAGGGTTGCACGGAATGCACGCGTAGGAAACCGCCGTTGAGAAAATCACAGCCTCCATTGCAGTCTATCTCGGTTTCACGCATCAATGAGTTGCTCGCACTCGACATCCTCGGGCCATTTACTGCCACGCAGAGGTGAAACAAGTTTTCTCTTGGCAGGGGTTGAATATTTTTCACGACCAGTCGGCAGCCTCTATTGCGGATGCGTTTTTGCATGGATACGTGTTTGACAAAAGTGCACCCGAGCATCTTCTCACGAATCAGGGGCGGAATTTTTCCTCTAAGCTGCTACGAGAAGTTTGCGATGTGCTAGGCACGGCTCTCGCGCACCCCAGGTGAAGAACCACTGGTCTAGATAGAAGGGGGGGGGGGTGCCTCGAGTGCCTCCTTTATGATGGCCTTCCGCCAGCAGTGGTAATGAGCAAGGAATTTCAGGGGGCTTCGCCACCCTCGTCGTTATACAATAAATGCACTTGGGCAATTTAACACGTGGGTAATTTAACGCGTGGGCAATTTAACACGTAGGCTTTCTAATATTCATAATAATAAAAATGTGTGTTAGATCGCATGTGGGCAAGATTACAGGCCGTTTTTTTGCAAAAAAACTGGCCAATATAACTTGACCAAAAAAAAATAACACGCTGTCATTAAAATACAAGCCTTTGTTGCCCCGTTTGTGGAGTGAACCAATCTACCGCTGGACACAGCTGATGTTGGTCACGAGGTGTGTTTTGAATGTACTTTATCACGCACCTGCAAATGAGAAATGAAGCCGAAGTGCACTGCAGGGGAGCAGCAGCTGTCCTGGAAGGAGGAGCGATTATTCGGAGCGTTAAAAAAAGAGCAACAAGGAAGGAGAATAGTTTCACTTCTCTGTTTTTTGAGTATAAGACTCACACTCGTGCAACACACACACACACTCAACCACACTCGCCACCGTACTCTGCATGAGATCACGTGTCCCATTTCAAATTCTCGAATGAACATGAACAAAATACTTTATCTTCATCTTCATCACTTTAATTAAAGTTTTTTGTTCAATGCTGTGTCCGTCGACTTTCAAGCGCAGTGTCACGGCGTGCTCCGCAGTCCACGCATCCTACTATTCTCTTTGTCCTTCAAACGTACGGCACGAAATAAGTTTAACGTACATCAGGGAACGCTCCCAAGAATTCCCGTCGATCAAACCGTGAGTACTTTCAGCCATGCTTTATTGATCAAATGTGCGGCGGTTTTAGCGAGAGGGGGTACTTACTGCCAAGGCTATTTAAACAAATGCGCGATTGCCCGCTCGCGATTAACAGCATCACGCGCACACACTCTCTCTCTCTGCGCATGCAAGGCCCAGCGACCTCGTGGAATTCCACCCAGAGAAGAGAAACAGATAAACGTATTTGGTTTAAGTTCGTCCAAGAAACGGTCTCTCTTTATGGATGGGGGGGGGGGGGGGCTGGAGGTGGGGGAGTTTATCCACATGGTAGTAATTTGTTGATGACCCACCAAGCGATCCGCGTTTTTTTTTTCACTTTCCCGAAGCGATAATGGGGTTTACTCTTTGGTTCTTTCGGTAAAATCACGTAAGTAAAATGTTTTAAAATAAAATTTAATAAAACTAAAATTTAAAAAGCTTTTGTTTTATTTAATTTAATTTTTTTTACTTACGTGACTTTACCGAGAGAACCAAAGAGTATGGATCCTTGCAGTCACGAAAACTTCACATCTAGAATTGATGATGGGGTTGTTTTAACTTCCAACCTTGGCATTGTGACTGTGACAGCTTCCTATTTTCCCACGCGTTATTTGCAGGACAAAGCGTATTGAGAACCCCACACTTACTGCTAACACAACTGGCATAACTCTTAGTGTTCTTGACTTGAAGCTTTCGTGACTGCAGGAATTTATGTTCTTTGGGTCTTTCGGTAAAGTCACGTAGATAGGTTCACAAAATAATAAAAAATAAACAAAAAACTAGACGTTTCTATCGCAACGCAAGCGACCGTCATCAGGTGAAAAGGGGGGAGTTTGCGAGTTCTCCCTCTCTCTCGCTCTCCCATCACGTGGATTTTTCTCCAGGTCCTCCGGGTTTTTCCCTCCACATTGAGAATCAACGTCACGCGTTTAGAGCGTTTGGCTGTATTGATTTCCACGCGATGATAAGCCACTTCGTTGAGCTATAACGTGTGGTCAGGTCGCTTCTGAAAAAGAAGATACATAGTCCAGGGGGGGGGTCTTACCTAGTTAATTACAAAAAAGTAGTTTCAATAGATTTATGTCGTGGCTGGAGCTGCAGCCAAGGAATGGAACGCGTCAGAGAGGATGTCCACGGAGCGACGTAATCTACTCGGGTGCAGGTGCTGAGTAGCCACATCTCGCCATCGTGAGAGGTGGTGGCGGATTTGGGTGTCACATTCAGCCAGAAGCGGATTGACCACGGCTGCTGATCAAAGGCGGAGTTTGACTTCTATATTTGTGGGGGTGGTTGTGTCCCGCGCGTGACGTCATTCCACGTCGGCCAGCCCCCATCATAATAATCATGAGCAGGTGACGTCCTCCACATGGATCCCCCCCCCTCATTAATAATCATGAGTGGGTGACGTCACTTCACTTGCAGCACCCCCCCCCCTCCATTAATAATCATGAGCGAGTTTCCATTGAGTGGGTATGGAGGCTTATTTAATGGACATATTAAAGATATGTGTGATGGGTTTGGGGTCTGAAAATCACGTCACCCACTGCCTAAGGACTGCGATGTAATGTTATCTAGAACACACACATACTTTATGCAGGTATATTATCACTTGGTCACAGGATGCACTTGGGACACTCGGCACTCTCTTCCATTTTCTCACGAGTTTTTACAACACACAAGTCAAAGATCCCCCGTGTAGCCTCAACAGACGGCAGGTGCAAGCGCTGTTAGTGAGTAGCAGCACCTATCGAAGGCCGGCACGGCACACGAGGGGGTGGGTTGCCACACCGCACTAGGTACTCATTAGAGACTGAGTCGACCTAAAGACCCAGGACAGGCTCAAATAACCGGAAATCCACATTCCATCGGTCATTCCAATGTCATGTCATCTTATATAAATAAAAACACGTATCAGATCTTACCTGTGAGAAACAACCCCCCCCCCCCCCACTCTGGAACTTCCTGTCAAATGCTGTCTGTTTTGCATATTCTAGATCTGGAGCCTTTGTCCTGAGTCACCAATTTTGTAGTAAAAAAAGAAACCAACAACCACCCCACAAGCCACAGGATAACCCCCGAGGTAGTTGAGAAGCTGGCAAACAAAGAGCGGGCAATCAACGAGGGCGCGAATTCGAATCTGTGTTTCCGTCACCCATTTGTTACACCGGGTGTTCAAGTGCAGCGAGTTGATGCTCTTGAGCTCGGTGTTTCAATGGCTGCAACGCAAATTGAATCCCAATCGTATCGGATGTGAATTTTCACGGGATGTGACCAAATTAGAGCTCTTGATATTCTAGATTTGAAGTTTTCGTGACTGCAAGGATCCATACTCTTTGTTTCTTTCGGTAAAGTCACGTAGGTAGAAAAAAAATATATAAAAGAAAAAAATTGAAATAAATAAATCACGACGTTTCGATTGCAACACAATCAATCATCATCAGGTGTGACAACCACAGCAAGGAAATGTTTATTTATTTAAAATTTATATTTTATAGTTGTATTTATTTATTCACCCACGTGACTTTACTAAAAGAACCAAAGAGTAAAGCTCTTGAGATATCGGAACGTTGATTTGATTGCCTTTCGACGAACACTCTGCGCAGGACATAGAGCAGGTGAGCCCCGAGGTGAGCGTACGAGGCCCGTGCAAGCGACCTCACAGGAAGGTCTGTGATGCCACCGCCTGTGGTACGTTCTCGAACGCAGGGTCGTGCACTGCTAGCTGCAGCGCTCTGAATATAAAATACACGACTTCGTCTTGTGGCCTGCCACCGATAGCACGAACGGAACAGGCAGAGATGAAAAAACAAAACAAGCAGAGATGGAATTCTACCCAATCATCAGCATCATCATCAGCATCATCATCATCATCAATCATCATCATCAGCCATGGTCAATCCACTCCTTGATGAAGCGCCACCCAGCCCCACCCTCCCCACCAAAGCCATCACCATCTCTCGTGATCTTGCGATGTAACAGCCCACCACCCAGCTCCCTACACACGAGCCGATTTCACAGCTCCATCTCCTTGTCGGTCATCTTCTCAGATGCATTCCGTTCCTTGGCCCGCCGCTCCGTCACTATTGTTGGCCATCGCCCATCGTCTCTTCCAGCGAACTGTCTTGCCCAAGTCCCGCTCACTTTTCCCAACAGTTTTGACTTTTGTCTTTAACCCGCGTGTGTTTTCTACCCTCCCCCCCCATCCACCGCCACGTGCTCCTCTTTCTGCCTCTCCGTTTAATTCCACAATTTGCATCCCTCCACGCGTCTTTGCACGCTTGCCAGGTTCTGTTTTCTTCTTGTTGCAAACGAGTCACGTCATAGCAGGTATCGCGCAATGTTTAAGGCTTAGTGGCATACGTATCGATGACAGTTATTGAGGGTGGACAAGAATCAAAGTGACGACACTATCAGGTGGATGACAGCAGGCTCTGGAGTGACGAAATCAGAAGTTAGCATTTTGATTTAAAGCTTTCGTGACTTCAGGGATTCATATTCTTGGTTCTTTCGCTAAAGCCACGTAGAAGGGAAACAATAAAATAATAAAATATTAAACAAGACAGAGGTTCTTTGCAAGCCATCTGGCTACCATGAGAGATGCGTTCATGAGGCTATCCACATATACAAACACAGAGACAATTTCAACCGAGAAGATGGATTCTGGCTTAGCACTCATTGGAAGGATTTGATAAACCATTTCGGGTCTTAATTGATTGATCACGCTTAAGGTGGCTTTCAGACCGCATCCATTATTTTTCGTCTCCCCCTCCTCTTTTCCGAACATAGATGGACTCGTCCATCTGAACAAACCGTCAAATCGCTCTCCGTGGTGCTAACGTAAAAATAACCGCCACTTTTTTCAAATTTTCTTGTTGTGGTTTTCACACCTGATGATGATTGCTTGTGTTGCAGTCGAAACGTCGTGAGAATTTTATTGTTTTATATTTTTATTATTTTATTGTTTCCCTTCTACTTGACTTTACCGAAAGAACCAAGAATACAGAAGTTAGCAGTTGTGGAAAACAATACTGGCACAGTAAAACTCCTGGAATCCACGCTCATTTAATGTGGTAATCTTAAAATTGATGCCCCCAGTAAAACATCGCTACACTTCGACGTTTTACCGCAGCGTTAATTAAGTATGGGTGCTCAGTTTTACAGAAATATGGAAAGTTTTTTGCGCATTTGCATACCTGTCAACCCCGTATCAGTGTCTACCTAATTCCAGACCAATTCAGACCTTATCGGTCACCCCGCGAGCCACCCCCAAATCTCAACGTTCAACCTACAAAGTCCCATCACACGGGAGAAACACACAAACAAAATTGACAATTTTGTTTTAACCGTATTGAAACGGCCGTACGCCGCTCAATTTCCCTGTACAAGAATACGGGGCAAATCGTACGGGTTGACTGCTGTGCGTTCAAAACTAGATTCGAAGCTTTCGTGACTGCAGGAATTACTCTTTGGCTCTTTCGGTAAGGTCACGTAGAAAATCAAATCAAATAATAGAATTAGAATCCGACGTTTTCCATTGCAACACAAGCAACCCAAGCTTTGGATTCGCCACAAAGTGGCCGTGACGTCACCAGGCTAGGTGCATTCGAGGGAGTGGCGTGGCCGAGAACGCCCGGGCTTTCCGAGATTTATCTCCCCGGGAATTTGACCGCGAATCATTTTTTCGCAAGGCATCACCCCGCACGCGTGGTATTGACGACGACGCCGCCATCGTCAGATTACTTATCAACAATGGAATTCTGACTTTAAAAAAAAACGAATTATCGTCGTCTGCAGGTCGAGCTCATTCGGCCGGTGTCTCTGCCGTGAATAAAGATGCGCGACTTCAACCCTCAACCTTCCGTCACATTTAAAATGGTGAGTTATGCCGGCACGATACGCCACCATCCCGCCCCTCCTCCTCTCATTTGTTCTAAAATAGTGTTAAAAAAACGAGAGATGATGATGATGTTGACGATAAGAATACTGATACTAGCAGCGTGACATTTGCACTGGTGATGGTGGTCATGCTGGTGACTGTGGTATGCAGGTTGAACTTTTACATAGCCAACCGTGCTGATCTGAGGTGCGGAGAAAGGTGAAACACACTAAACACAAAAGCGGTTCTAAAGAAATTCGTTTTGAATACAGATTTTCAAAGTGGACAGTGGTGGTGATGGTGGTGGTCTCGGTGGCAGTGGATCGACACGAAAGGGCGTCGATACGTTGTTTAAATGCTCTTCTGTATACGTGAAATTATTTTATTATGTTGTGCACTGTAAGTCTTTCCCTTTAACGTGTCTATCAATGGATAACATTGCACAGCCCTGCTACTCACAGTGTTAAGGAGGCTACCCCCCCACCTCCCCGTTCTCCTGTGACCCACCGCTCTCCCCTGCTGGCAAATTATTAGGGCTGCTGACCCTCGGCTCCTCGTTCTCCTGTACACCTCCGCTCTCCCCCCTCGCCGCTGCTCCTCGCAGAAGCATGATTCAAATGTCGATACTACCCGCTTTATAATCACAGCGAACCACGCAGGCTCACGGGCTAACGTGCCGCGGCAAGGGCGCACACGTGGGTGAGATTACACACCCGTGCGTAACACACAGAAACCACACGACACTGATTAGTGTCTACTGGTACTTTATTCTCTGTTTAATTAGAGTTAATCTATCCGTGTCAGTGTAGACCAGCAGGACAGATCTAACCTATCTCTCGACTGTGTAGGGCTCAATTTGCCTAGTCTCTCCCTACTCGCCCTTCTACGGGATTTTCTCCTCAGACTTACCTCTCCTCTCTATACTTACGCTCCGACTTCGAGGGGTAGGGAGCCGCGGATAGGCGAGGCTGCACGTGGCTTTGGCTGGGAAGACTGGACCCGGCTGCCCTCTGACTAGTCACGCGGACGTTCAAGTGGCAGGGAACTCCTCGATCACCCCTCTCCAGTTGACCCCCAGCACAAAGAGAAACAAAAGACCCCTTCTCCTCCTTCCTGGCCCCCTTTTATCCTCTTACATCAAAGCTAACGGTCTTGGCCAATCGGGTCATCCCCCCCCTCTCTGACACCCCGCCCCCCCCCATTCTTTAACCAAGTGTACTGCCGACTTAATAAGCGAGCCGGTGCCGCATCATAGCCGTTAACCCGCGTGCATCATGGTGAAGAGACGTTAACCCGTGGGGCATCATGGGTAGAGGCGCAAACCCGCGGTGCATCACGGGTAGAGACATTTAACCCGAGCTGCCCCTCTCCCCACCTGTCTGCTGGGTCCGTGTGTGTCTTGGGCATCTCCTCACTGCGGTTCTCAGCGAGTTCGCCGTGGTCATTTAATTTTAAGTTAAGCCACGGCACCGCAGTGCCATTCGGCCTGGGGGGGCTGCCAATTCCCTGGCCCTGAGAAACCGTGGAGCACCCCCACGAGGGGGTCTCTTGGATAAAAACTCAGGGCAGGTGCCCCCTACACACGAGGCCCTACGTGAGTGCGTGTGTGTGTGTTCATGTGGGGGGTGGCGGGCAGAGCGCTGTGACGGCAGCCGGGTGACTTCTCTGTCGCAGCACCCCCGTTGCAGGCACGGCTCCCACGGAGCGGCTTCGTTGTTGTGGCACCACAACAGCATGACTTGACGTGTGTGTATGTGTGTAGGGAGGGGTAGGGGGTATTATCGGTCCTAGGCAGCTTAGTGGCTGAATGGGTAACTATGCAGGTTGTGGTTAGACATTGTGGGCAGTTAGAGAGCAGTGCACAAAAAAACTGTGCATTCTAATGACTGCAGTGACCAGCGTGAAGTATGGTAGAATACTCCTCTTGGCCCTCATCCAGCCAGTGGATTTTGGGATGAGTGTCACAACACAGTCTGTCTATGGGGACCTTTTTGCCAGTATCAAAAATGATGAAAAATAAGAATATATTTTACCCTTTTTGGCAATAGAATTGGAGGTGTTAAGATGTTCATACGCCAAATAGGTTCCTTTTTGCAAGGAATCAACTCTGCATTGAACCACACATACTTGTGGCAAAACATTTATATAGGCGTTGTCTTTGAAATTGATTGTCCTACACCAGAGACAGCCTTCCTAATGGCCTTGTCTCACGAGTGTCAATCCAGAGAATGCCAAGAGGCGAACGGTACAAGACAATGCAAGTGTCGGACCACTTTTATCTATTTTTGATCCTGGCAAAAAAGGTCCCATACATATAACTGCATTAACCACGTGGTGTTGGTAACAGACGCCAAACTGCAGTGACACAACATTCAAATATTAACTTAAAGGTTTAATGACCGCAGGAATTCATATTCTTGTTTTTGTTATTTTCTTTGAACCCATCACCGTGACTTTTAGCGAAAGACCCAAATAATATTAAAATATTACTTTGTCTTATTGAACCAACCCGGGTGACACTTTGCACTGCCACGAAGGCCGTGTTGGTGACAAGATGTTTGTTTTAAATAAGAAAAAAAATACTGAATATATGCGGACGGAGAGCTATGACATGAATACCGTCTGCTTATTTCAATTGTTACTTATACCCCGTTTAGTTTATGTTGAGCTGATTTTAGTTTAGTGTCCTCTCTACCCCATATTTTGGTCTCGTACGCGTCTTGTTGATGTTCGCTAGCTGTTGTCGCTACAAGGGCGAAATCTCACGTGGCTTTCTGGGGCTCATCACAATCTACTGCGAGTCGCCAGAGGCCTGGCAGATGATGGTTCGCACACACTGACCACTGACCTTGGTTTTGCTGCGGTTTAAAACAACGAGGCAATGTTGATTAAATTACAACACCGTCAGCCTCTCGACCAGCCCGGATTGGCTACGTACGGTGGCGAAAGAAGTTCAAAATGTGCACATTCAAAGTGAGGATACTCCCGACTCTTCCATGGGTGTACAGTGAGGGAAAAAAGTATTTGATCCCTGCTGATTTTGTACGTTTGCCCACTGACAAAGAAATTATCAGTCTATAATTTTAATGGTAGGTTTATTTGAACAGTGAGAGACAGAATAACAACAAAAAAATCCAGAAAAACGCATGTCAAAAATGTTATAAATTGATTTGCATTTTAATGAGGGAAATAAGTATTTGACCCCCGCTCAATCAGAAAGATTTCTGGCTCCCAGGTGTCTTTTATACAGGTAACGAGCTGAGATTAGGAGCACACTCTTAAGGGAGTGCTCCTAATCTCACCTTGTTACCTGTATAAAAGACACCTGTCCAAAGCAGCAATCAATCAGATTCCAAACTCTCCACCATGGCCAAGACCAAAGAGCTCTCCAAGGATGTCAGGGACAAGATTGTAGGCCTACACAAAGCTGGAATGGGCTACAAGACCATTGCCAAGCAGCTTGTGAGAAGGTGACAACAGTTGGTACGATTATTCGCAATGGAAGAAACACAAAAGAACTGTCAATCTCCCTCGGCCTGGGGCTCCATGCAAGATCTCACCTCGTGGAGTTGCAATGATCATGAGAACGGTGAGGAATCAGCCCAGAACTACACGGGAGGATCTTGTCAATGATCTCAGGCAGCTGGGACCATAATCACCAAGCAAACAATTGGTAACACACTACGCCGTGAAGGACTGAAATCCTGCAGTGCCGCAAGGTCCCCCTGCTCAAGAAAGCACATATACATGCCAGTCTGAGTTTGCCACTGAACATCTGAATAATTCAGAGGACAACTGGGTGAAAGTGTTGTGGTCAGATGAGACCAAAATGGAGCTCTTTGGCATCAACTCAATTCGCCGTGTTTGGAGGAGGAATGCTGCCTATGACCCCAAGAACACCATCCCCACCGTCAAACATGGAGGTGGAAACATTATGCTTTGGGGGTGTTTTTTTCTGCTAAGGGGACAGGTTAACTTCACCGCATCAAAGGGACGATGGTCGGGGGCCATGTACCGTCAATCTTGGGTGAGAACCTCCTTCCCTCAGCCAGGGCATTGAAAATGGTCATGGATGGGTATTCCAGCATGACAATGACCCAAAAACACACGGCCAAGGCAACAAGGAGTGGCTCAAGAAGAAGCACATTAAGGTCCTGGAGTGGCCTAGCCAGTCTCCAGACCTTAATCCCATAGAAAATCTGTGGAGGGAGTTGAAGGTTCGAGTTGCCAAACGTCAGCCTCGAAACCTTAATGACTTGGAGAAGATCTGCAAAGGGGAGTGGGACAAAATCCCTCCTGAGATGTGTGCAAACCTGGTGGCCAACTACAAGAAACGTCTGACCTCTGTGATTGCCAACAAGGGTTTTGCCACCAAGTACTAAGTCATGTTTTGCAGAGGGGTCAAATACTTATTTCCATTATTAAAATGCAAATCAATTTCTAACATTTTTGACATGCGTTTTTCTGAATTTTGTTGTTGTTATTCTCTCTCACTGTTCAAATAAACCTACCATTAAAATTATAGAGTGATAATCTCTTGTCAGTGGGCAAACGTACAAAATCAGCAGGGGATCAAATACTTTTTTCCCTCACTGTACATGTGTGTGCTGAACTTCTTCGGCACTGTACGTAGGCAACCGTTGCTAATCGGATGTCTGGCCTGCGTGAAAGTAAGAAATATTGTACATTTGTATCTATTAAGTACTGTAGAGTAAGTAAAACCTAAAATAAAGTAACTTGAAAATAAATCTGCTTTATATTTACCTACCTTGAGTCCCGATACTGGTAAAGTTACGTAGAAAGAAAATAAATTAAATAATATAATACGACGTTTCGATTGCAACACAAGCAATCGTCATCAGGTAGAAAATAAACCTAGTGAACTTAGAAATACAATGCAATCCACATACAGAGAGTCGGCCAACACAACAGTCAGCACCTCACCTGGTTGATTACGTTCTTCCAAAGATTGCTAAATTTGAGAGAGAGACAAAACACAGACACGGGGACACACAGACAGACACACAAGCAGAGAGAGACAACACAGAGACACACAACATAGGCACAGAGACCCAACGCCTCTGTGCCGAGGCCTTAAATAGAGAGGAGGGGGGGGGGGGGGGCAGAGAGAGAGGTGGGTCTGCTGGAGCAGAGAAATTAGCATGTCAATGAGAGAGCTGTCTGGAAATCAACCCCGCGGTGGCCGGTGGAGAGAGAGAGAGACCCAGCAGGCCTGGTTATTTTTAGAGAGAGTTGCGTGGAAATCCACCCCGAAGCGGCCGGGGGAGAGAAAGAGCGAATGGTCCTATGAGAGCCTGGTAAATTTTAGAGAGAGCAATAGGCAGTTTGAGAAAACAAATTTGCCAAATTTTTGGAAATGTAATGCAATGCAACACAACACACATCTTTCTTTTCTTGTTTACTCAGTCACAACCGCATCTTCCCTCTCTCTCATCTGCAGGCCGTTTTCCTAATTTCCATCACGCTCACGGAAAGCACGTGCAACGTGTTCGGACATTACTCGTGCAATGACACGTGGTCACTGGTAAGTCGATGGACCTCTGCGGTAAACGACGAACACCAAACCTGTCACACTTGTCACTAACGCTGCCCCGAAGAGAGAACCCAGAATAAACAACAGGCAATGTTACAAAGGCCCTCTCTTTACAGCACAGAGCTAAATAAGGGTTATTTTTCGATTTAAGTTATACATTGTTATTCTTGGAAATGTTCATTACAAGTCACGTGCTTAAACCGACCAAATATATGCTCCAGTTAATCCGAAATCCACGTGACTACCTCTACAGTACAGTGGTTGCATATCTTTACAACAGTGGGCGGAGTTTTATTGATTTATTTTCTTAACTTAAACATAAGTAATACAGTACCTATATTAGTGTTTTTTGGCATAGAGTTCCGTGAAAACTGGTTACATGTTTGGATTATCCGCGATTTTGAACTATCTGCGGCCGTCCTGCCCGTCATTAGCGTAGATCATTGAGAATACTGTGTATACATTTTCCCCTGACAGCGGGTGATCGTTACAACTGCAGGTGTATATCAATCAGTGGACGATGAGAAAAAACAAAATCCAGCGACACAATTCGAAACGAGCGTTTGGCCGCTGTGTGCTGAAAAATAACACCGCAAATGACTCAATTGGGATCGCACGCAAGAAGCAACAATCACCCTCTACCATAAAACTACCACAGGCTGTCTGTGAAATGCACTGTCGCCCCTTACCTTCCTGAGGATAGCCTTGTGCTATAGGAAATGGCACGAAATTACCAAATGTCCTAAAATAAGTTATAGTGGGGTCTCCAATCCCTGGGCCGTGGACCGGTACCGGTCCGTGGCCTGTTAGGAACTGGGCCGCACAGCAGGAGGTGAGAGCGGTGAGTCAGCACGTGGCCCGCCCCATTATTTTATTATTTACCACTTCCGTCCGCGCCTCTTTCCCGCACTGCGCACTCAGTTTCAGTCACAGTGTTGGTAAGCCCACAAGCTCTAACCCCCTAGTAGCCACAATGAGTAACAAACAAACGTCGCTGGAGAGCTTCTTTGAAAAAGGGGGAAAGACCCAATGACGAACAACCCCCCCCCCAGTCCGTGAAAAAAATGTCTTCCACGAAACCGGTCCCTGGTGCCAAAAAGGCTGGCGGACCGCTGTGTACAGTTATACTACTTGCTGCTTCGTATTCTTTGCTTCTTTTGGTAAAGTCACATAGATTGAAAAAATAAAGTGAATAATTAATAAAACGACGTTTCAATCGCAACACAAGCGGTCGTCATCAAGAAAAGGGGTCAGCCTCTAAAGTCAAACTGTTTATGAAGGTTTGGAGATGGGTGTAGCGCAAGTGTGTCAGCAGCACCAGGAGCATGGGCGGGCCAGCAATGCCAATGCAGCAGCAATGCCAATGCAGCAGCAATGCCAATGCAGCAGCAATGGCAATGCAGCAGCAATGCCAATGCAGCAGCAATGCCAATGCAGCAGCAATGTCAATGCAGCAGCAATGCCAATGCAGCAGCAATGCCAATGTAGCAGCAATGTCAATGCAGCAGCAATGCCAATGCAGCAGCAATGCCAATGCAGCAGCAATGCCAATGCAGCAGCAATGTCAATGCAGCAGCAATGCCAATGCAGCAGCAATGCCAATGTAGCAGCAATGTCAATGCAGCAGCAATGCCAACGCAGCAACAATGCCAATGCAGCAGCAATGCCAATGCAGCAAAGGGCCACCAATAAATCACTGCACCCCGCTCCACACACCACACTGCTGACGGTGGAGGTCTAGCAGCAGAAGGTTTTTAAGGAAAACCGTTTGGTCTGCTCAATTAATGATGCTGAATCAGTGATGATACTGTTTGTTTTTGTAACGAGGCTGTTTGGTGAGATTTCTTTTCATTTTTGTGTAACTACCATCATTAAGTAGGTCCTGAATTTTGGTTTTGGATATGGTTTTGTCCGAGATGACCATGGCATTGCCCTTGTCGGCTGAGAGGATGACGATATCATCGCTCTTTTTCAATTGAGATAGCTCAAAGCGCTCATCCTTACTGATGTTGCTGACTGGTATGTTAGCGCTTTTGAGGGTTGCAGCGATTTCAGATCTTGTCACGTCTGCAGCGATGTGTCCCAAACCCTTAAGAGCTACATCGACCTGGCCAATGATGTCATCCACTGGTATCTGTTTGGGGGTGACTGCAAAGTTGAACCCTTTAGCCAAAGCCGACTTTAGATAATCGGAATTTGGGCTATTACTCAGATTAATAAAACCCTTTTTAATGTGTGGGTCTGGTTTCTTCTTGGAAAGGAGGTTGAACTTGGAAATCAGGTTTTCTTCACATTTAGCTGACATTGTAGCGGCTGATGAAGCAGTCATGTTATCTACATGTTCCTAATTAGATGTAGACATTTTTTTCTGTCAATGTTAAGTGTGATTTCAAGAGTGTCTTGTCTACATGATCTAGTTCAGTACGGAGTAGTCTAATTCTCTCTGAGATTAGGGCCAAACTAGCCCTGAACAAGATTCATTTGGCATTGGAAGATGTGACGGCAGCAGAAATTGCAATAGCATAAGAAAGGTAAGCGGTATGTAAAAAAATAAATGGAACCTAAAGGAGACAGGTTTTTATTAAATTTTTAGATTTTATCTGAAGGCGAGTCTAAACAGGCGCGTCTTGCACAGACCATGGAATAGAAAAGGCACTTGGCGCATTTCGGATGCCCGGTGGCAGGATGGTTGTTCCAGATTTTTTAAAAGAATATTCTTGAGGATGAAAAACAGCTCGACAACAACAATGCGACAGTCATTTGCAAAGTCAGCGGGAAAACTGATACCAACATAATTGCACTGTGAACTCTATGATGGCTGGCGCCGAGATAGTTTGTATTGCATCAGCACGAAGGTTGACGCGCGATTATCACGCGTCGGGAAATGCACACTCGGGCACCCGTTGCAGTTGGAATGACGTCTCCTTGCCTGTCCGTCTCTTCTGCTCACAGATGCACAACATTGAGCGGAAACTCAACCCCTGCAGTGGCCATGACCAGGTAAACAACGCCACAGTGGGTGCTTCTCACAGGTGATTGGCTGCTGGCATTGTTCCGATTATAATTGCCGAAATGGCAACGCTGTGCCCAGAACCGCCGAGTATCTGCAGTTTGAAGATAGGATTCGAGTGGCCGGTTGGCTCAGTGGTTTCAGTTTGACTTACCTCATCGTCCACCTGGGGTCACTAAAATGAGTAACGACTTTGTGGGGAGGTCATACAGTAGATTGGCTGTCCTATGGATATTCTCGCCCCTGTCATAGGACTGAAAACAGCAGATTAGTACCGTCTAAGGTTGATAACTTTACCTTTACTCATTCTTATGGGGCTCACTGCGATATTGCGACAAGTATGGTGCCGTTTATTATCCACGACATTCGTATCATCCGCTTTGTTGTGCGCCGTGGGTATCAGCAAAGCGTGGGTATACTCCCACATCTTTCAAGACGTCTAGCCAGCTGTATAGAAGAGTAGACCAAAATGCCCTCTATAGAGGGGAGGGGGGGGGGCCTCTCTTGATCTCCCTCAAGTAGAGGCCCTTCTGCCAGCAGGGGGCAGCGACGAGCAGTTGCGGGGGCTGCGGCTTTGCCTTTTTGATCTTGACCCTCCAGAAGTTTGACCCCCTTTTTTGTGCAGCGTGCCCAACGAAAAGGTCGTTTTGCTTGTCTTGCGTGGAAGGATCGTGTCTGCTCTCATTGAACATCGCTCTCGCTCGTGTGTGTTTGTAGGTCAGTGACATCCCCCGCTATTACCTGAAGGAGAACTACACGTCAGTGCCCATCGACGCGTTGATCAAATGGCACAGCAAATTGGTATGGACACCTCCTCCCCATCCCCTCTCTCCTCTCCCCTCCCCTCCCCTCCCTCCCCCCCCCTCGCTATCAGAATCAGATTATTTTTATATATGGATGCGTAATCCGATGAGCCATGAAGCTCTTTTTCACAGATGTCCAGTAGGGGCACGGCATCAGAACGTTACAACAAGTAACACAAACATTTGATAGGAGTGCAAAGTATAGGAAAGGTAAACAAATAACCAAAAAATATATACAAATGAAACGAAACTTAAAAAAAAAATATTACCTGGTAAAGCCCACTGAGCTATTAACTTATTTTTCAAAATCGACTTGGCCCACAAATGATAGCTCAAAAAGTGGCTTATCACGTGGAAATGTATAGCAGCAATATTATCTAAACCAGGGCAGCTGGTGAACTTAAACTAAATGAGGCGCCGCTCAGCAATATCACCGCCACATTTCGAGATCGTCCAACATTTTAAAACAATGAGAAAAAACAATACTCAGAACTCTTTGGTTCTTTCGGTTAAAGTCACGTAGAAAGAAATTAGATTAAATAATAGAATACGACGTTTCGATTGCAACACAAGCAATCATCATCAGGTAAGAATGAATGAGAAAACCAACCTAGTAAACTTGGAAATGTAATGCAATACAACACAGAGAGTCGGCTAACACAACAGTCAACACCTCACCTGCTTCATTACATTCTTCCAAAGATTGAAACATTTTAGAGAGAGAGACAAAACATAGACACGGAGACACACAGACACACAAGCAGAGAGAGACTCACACAGAGACAGAGAGAGACACACATAGGCACACAGAAAGACAACGTCTCTGTGTCGAGGCCTTAAATAGAGAGAGGGGGGGGGGCAGAGGGGGAGTTGTGTGGAATTCCTGCCCTATGTGTGTGTGTCTCTCTCTGTCTCTGTGTGAGTCTCTCTCTGCTTGTGTGTCTGTCTGTGTGTCTCCGTGTCTGTGTTTTGTCTCGCTCTCAAATTTAGCAATCTTTGGAAGAACGTAATCAATCAGGTGGGGTGTTGACTCTTGTGTTGGCCGACTCTCTGTGTTGTATTGCATTGCATTTCCAAGTTTACTAGGTTTGTTTTCTCATTCATTTGTACGTGATGATGCTTGCTTGTGTTTCAATTGAAACGTCGTATTCTATTATTATTTAATCTAATTTCTTTCTACGTGACTTTACCGAAAGAACCAAAGAGTCATTTCTGCAGTCACGAAAGCTTAGAACCTAACACTCATAACTTTTATTTTGTCTGGGGAGGTGGGGCAGTCCTGCAATGGGAAGTTTGGCCATTGACAACAATGTAAAAGGGAGCCCAGAGTCGCCGGGGAAGAAAAAAAAACGCCCACATATGCCAAAGGGAAAACAATCAAAGAAGTGGTGAGACTTGTGCCTCCACAGCAAGGAGGGGTCTGGGTTCGATTCCCGACTCGGGTGCCTTGCTGAGTGGAGTTTCTGTGTTGTCTCTCTCTCGTCCTGTTTGGCATGGGTTTCTTCCAGGTTCTTCGTTTTCCTCCCATAGCTAAAACAACCTCCCCCCCCTCCCCATCGATCGCAATGCTTAAAAATGAACCGCAAATGTATCCTTGAGATTACACAAAGCAACACCGCCAGAGCACGACAATCCACATCCGACTATAGAAATGTAGGCAAGGATCCTTCGGAAAAAAAAGTCTCTTGACTGAGGCTTTCCTGGGTTAAACAAAGGTCATAATACTCCAACTAATAATATAATATAGCGACCGTTATCTGGAATGATTCGTAGTTAAGTTGCGCCGGGGATGCAAACTAAATTGTGCTTTTCGTGGACAAATCTCTTTGCTTTTCTCTTAGGTGAATGAGTGTAAAAGGTTCGCCGATCTCCATCTCATGATCTTCTCACTGAATAAGTCTCACGACCACATGAGCCACTTCGTAGATTTTAAGGATTTCAAATTCAAAAGCTACATAAAGAACTTCACATCGCTACAAGGATTAACCAAGGTAATGGACACCGAAAAATGATTTACCCAGTTAAATTGTTATTTATTTACCCAGTTAAGTTATTGTTTAATTAAAATGTTCATGATTAATTAAGGTATTTACCCAGTTAAATGATTGCCACATCGTAGGAAAATTCCCATATGTAGTTGGACTGTACTGTACCTACACTGTACGCAGCTTGCGTCTGTTCCACGCCTTCACCGTTCCGACCCAAACCGGCGTCGTTAGCAGATCTTGAAGAGCACACCAAGTGGATGGAACAGCATTCATTGATATTTGGCAAATAAATTTGGAAGAATTAGATCATTGTTATTGCTATAACCAGAAAAGAACCCGTTTTTCCTCAGCAATAGAAAATAAGAAACAGCTGTTGTCATGGTTCTTACTGAGTGTAATACGTAGGCTTTATTATGAATGGTTCTTACTATTCTCACGATCCCTTGTACTCGGATCACTAAAAGTAATCCACCTTTTTACATAAAAAAAATTACAAGATAATAAAAATTGGGATTTGAAAATATTGTTTTTTCTAGGTTTTAAAAGAACATTCTGGAGAAAGAATCACATGAATATCAGTGCAAATGCGAGAGCGATTTTAAAACGAACCGTGTTGGTCTTCTGCACAGTGTTACTCCCACCTCGTTGGTGTCACTTCCAAATGATTGCATCTTCCAAACTTCCTCCACCGTTTCGGTTGGCTACGGCCCACAGCCACAAGCAACAGAGTTACTGGTGGGGTGGACAGGAGCCCAGCCGGAAGCCAGCCAGGAAACTCAAGGCATAGATTGTATTTGTTATAGTAATATTATTATTAGTAGAGGGCCCTATTTAATACGGAGGCTTTCGCGACCAATATCCATAATAGAGGTTTTTGGGTTAGATCGCGTGAATATCAATTTGTCGTTAAACCCGCCACCACCTGACACAGCCAATTAGTAAAGTCGCCTGATGATGCTGGTTGTAATTACCGGCAAAACGTTGTACTCGAATTGTAAATTTCATGGGTTTACTCTCCCACACACCGGTGTGCTGTACTAGTGTAATGGTTCGACAGAGGCGCACACACTCTCGTATGGAGGCAACACTATTTATTAACACAACTGTAATACACTACACATAAGGTGGTGACCACTGACCTAACCTCGCTAACACTCGGGTAACAACTGGCGTGGCCAAGCCAGGAGGGCTGATGCTTGGCCACGACGACTTGAGGCTTCTCTTCACTCTTCATGAGGCGTCTTCATCCCATACCCGAGCAGCCCCGCACACGGTGCGGAGCCCCCTTATATCCGCCTCGGCGTGGCCAGGCCACACCCAGGCCACGCCCACCTTCTCGAACCCTCGAGAAGGCTCTGCTCCTGGCCATGTGACCCCCAAGGTCCCTCTAGGGCCCCCGGCCCCCACCTCGATCCAGTCACGTGTCCGGCCGGGTTCACACAGAGTGCCACGGCCTGACACAACCCCCGTGGCACTGACCGACAGCTTCCACACTCCGGCCGTGACGTCATTCATACATACCCGACATAGTGATGTCATGTGTGTGTACAGACCCAAGATGGTAGTGACGTCATAAGTCACTACATGAGTAACGAATTGACACGTTTTGTTTACGTGACAAACCTTACTAAAAGCTTAAAACACAGGATTGCCCCAAACCCCTCCTTTGAGAAGTTTATAGATCAGCCTCTGACTAGCATAATGAAGTACGGTCACATAACCGCCCCCCCCCCCCCACCACCATGGCCTGTACAGGCCCTCATCCAGCATCATATTGACCCCACCACCCCCTAACACTTGATATCCGTGGTGACAAGGCCACTTTTTAATCTCGTGCTGTGGCAGCATTGACACGTTATCCGTCCCTGCAAACGTACTTCTTGACCGCACTAATCGAGTGCTGCGGGGTAAAATGTTTTCGACCGGGCAACCACAAAACCGTTTATCATGGGACCTTTTTTTTTTGCCAGTGTCAAAGTATGAACAATAAGAATAGGTTTTACCCTTTCTAATACAATGCAAGTATCGGAACAGGTATAGCTCGGGTCGAGCAGTTATATCTATGGGACCTTTTTTTTGCCAATATCAAAAATAGATATAACTCGTATAAGAGGTTCCACTACTTCCAGTGCTTGCATTGTCTTTGTACCGTTCACCGTTTGGCATTCTCTGGTCTAACCCTGGTGGGACAAGGCCATAAAGAAGGTTGTCTCTGGTATAGGCCAATCGGTTTCAAAGACAATGCCTATATAATAATTATCAGAGCATGTTTGTTTACATATTTTGCCACAAGTGGTACGTGTGGTTAATGCAGACTTTATGCCTTGCAAAAGATATCTATTTGGTGTTTAATGGTCTTAACACCTGTTTTATTTCCAGAAAGGGTAAAACCTATTCTTATTGTTCATACCACTGTGGTTATAATTTTAACGACACGCCCAGTCACTACAATTCCCAAAAGGCACATGTCTATCGCTTTGCCGTGACAAAAGTGATAGAGGTGTGTGTGTGTGTGTGCACGTTTTGATGTGTGGTTGCCCACAAAAGGTATTTAAAAGCCCCATTTTTACCCGAAGTAAATAAAAGGTTTCCCACTCCTTCGGTAAATACAATTTTCGGGTCACCTCCGATTGCTTAAACGCGTAACAAGCATGTCTGCAGAACCCGATCGTCGCTGATCGTAATCAGTCGTGGTCGCACGCCAGCGTCACGATCCCCATGGCATATCATGCAAGATTTCGTATGTGCTCGCTAAACAATTGCCCACAACATACGGCCCATGGACTGTATAGGGCCTGCGACGTAATTTAATCTGCCACCATGACCATTCGAGGCCTATTGCTTCAAACCGCCCTCCAAACGATCTTTATCCGTCACCAAAAGCATGTTGGCCACACCGACCAGCTACGAGAGGGTGCATATTTTCAACCTGGCAAAATCAGTGTGCTACGCTTTGACATTCGGTGTTAAAACCCGGTCCAGAGTTTGCTCGTGTTGATCCAATACTGATTAAATTATGCACTCCCAGAGGGCGGTGGTGTGGCTGATGGGATGTGTAAAATAAATGTTTTTATTGTCGAGGAGTAAGGGAAAAGCTGTTGACCCCAGCTATAAATGAGTGGCGGGGTCGCCTCCTCTGTTTGAACACGCGATACGTTCTTTGTTTGTTTGCAGAACTTGATCCCAGAAAAAATGGATACAAGAAATCAATCCACAATGGAATTCTTCAGGGAGTTACTGAGGCTCATGAAAGAGGCACACAATTTCACCAACAGCGAGGCCTGCTATGGAAACTGGTCAACAATTTGCCGCATTGGTGGGTGCGATGCGATTGTGAAGTCCACGAATGACGAGCGATTATATGCGATTGCCGTAGGTTTTTTTCTCAGTTGTGCAGCATAGCAGCCTGTTGTGTTTTCGGGTTGCGGTGCCATGCATTGCTTGGCACGGCCACCGTTTGTTTTGTTTTGTCCGCTGGTGGGTGATGAGGCACAAGCAGAAGTAGGTTCTACCGATTAGCACCATCTCCCCACCACCACCACCACGTGGTTGGGAGCTGATATAATTGTTGTAATCATTTGCTGCCTTAGATCAGATGTGTTCGTAGCGAGTAAAAACAATACCATTAGAAACTATCAATGAAATTTTACCAGGCAAGGCCCACTGAGTTACGGAGGGCAATCGAGGGCACTGTGGCGGCTGGTCACTCAAGAGGAAAATGTAAATTAACTAAACAAAACCTGCACATTTTAAAGTTTAGAAACTGCACGTTAAAGAATAACAGCAATGTGGCTGAAAGAAGAACGTTTGTAATCAGTGTACACTGTCTGACGTAACGCATAGTTCAGAAACACATCATGAACAAACGAAAAATATACAGAACAAAAACCAAAATGTTCACAAAGAAGCAAGGAGAGTCGCATGCTTGGAATTGCACCGAGAGACAGGAACCCGTTGAATTGAGGATGTACTCACCTTAATGACAGGGACACGTCACGGCTAGAAGGATCGATGGGCGATTGTCAGGGATAATAACGTAGTGGCAGCCAAGGAATGGAACGCGTCACCAACGAGGGCGTTCAGCGGACAATTGAAGCAGTGAAATCAGTTCGCATGCAGGTGCCGGGTGGGTAGTTACATCGCAGTATCGTGAGAGGCGACGACAGCTTCGGGAGGCCATCATCCAGCGGTGGATCGACCACGGCCTATAATCAGGACGAAGGCAGCGGTGAAATTGGCGCAAGCTGTGACTTCTCCAACGTTTGTGTTTACAGTCCCTCGCCTGAAGGAGAGGGACACCGTGAACGAGGATCCAGACGCCAGAGGTAAATGCGAGTGCTAAATACCCACAGCGACTCAAAGCGCCTTAACACCACAACTTGATCGAGGCATTCGAGGGGCACCCCCAGTGGCCGCCGTCCCCACGCGGCACAGCGTGACTCGGCACCTGGTCTTCCGAGAAGGCCATCCGTTTGCTGTGTGGTGTCATCCCGATTGAGTAATCTACGGTGCATTTTTTTTTCAAATTCGTACCGTGACGCCAGCACACAGTGGCCTACTCCTTTCGAGTGGCGTCAGGATCATCATTTGAAGATCCACTGCTTCCCATTATAGTTTTGTCGGTGAACTAGCACACAGACGGCGTAAGGAGTGTTTCACTTCTCTCTTTGGTAAAAATGCCTTAGCTCCCTCTCTCTCTGTCTCCCCGAGTGTCTGCGGGCTATTACTGCTGCACGTGTATGCAGCCGCTTGTGCTTTGTGAGGCGGAAGGACCCACAGCAGAGCTTCGCTGTATTTTCTTCTTTGTGTCGATTCCCACGATGTTTTCGCAAACTGCGCTTCTTGGCACTGGCTCAGAGAGCATTAACTTTGGCTCCATTCCATACCACACTCACGTTGTGTGCCATGTAGTCGTCTGTTCATGTGTTTTTTTTATTTTATGGAACAGATTGTCACAGTCGCGTCCTTTATGAAGGGGGTGGGGGGGGGGCAATGGCGCAAGTTGTTGCCTGGGTCTCCGTTGCAAAACAACACGCGGCTTAGTGGGTAAATGAAGGCGCGGCCCTGCAATACTAATAATTATCGATATTTTATCAAGCGCCTTTCATGTTGAAGTATCTTAAAGCGCTGCGCATAAAGACAAATAAAACTACACTTGCAAGTATCGATAAAAAAAAATGTAAGCCATATCAATGACTCCTCTCGAAATCCCGACCCCCCCCCCCAGGGTTAGGGTTGGGTTAGGGTTAGAGACGACATTTCGGACAGTGGCGCTTGAATTATATAGATGGATTTCTGCATCGTGAGACCGTGATGGAAATGGCCGACAGGTTGGGGAGATGGTGGTAAAAAATAAGTGCCGGTCGTGGAGGACCCTTCGACCATACTTCACCGTGCGGGTCGGTTAAGGAGCGCGTCGAGAATTGGTTGAGAGGATATCGCTCGTTACGAATGTTATCCGCGGTCAGAAGCCAAACTTTGGGTTTTGGGATTTATAGCACGGTGCGCCAACCGCTGTGCCACTACTCCTCCGCAAGTGACCAGCATGCCTATGAGCAGTCAAAATCGCATCTAAAATAGAACACTTAAACGAATTATTCCATAATAAATCGGCCCTGTATGACGTTTTAAAATCATTAAACACAGGGATTTATCTTCCATGGTATGGGACGACTGCAGTCAGTATTACGTGAACTAAATGCAAACAAAGATTAATGCAGTTAACTACATACTGTATTTCATGGAATTTACTCCACAATATACCGTGCACCAGAACATGTTTGTGGACAATGCGTAACAACTTAACCTTACGGCGGGACTCCGGGGTCCCGACTAAAACGTAAGTAAAAATCGTAATTGATGAATTTATTTTTGGCGACTCCGTCTCACCGCGCACAAACGCCGCGACGCACGTGGCACGGATCGTTCTGTTGTCACGTTATGTCCCAAGCGTAGCAGCAGCAGCGAGGACGAATACGCAGAAGAGCTGAACAAGCGAATCCACACTCTTTGGTTCTTTCGGTAAAGTCACGTAGGTAGAAAAATAAAATATCGCGACGTTTCGAAAAATATATCCTGGTTCAGCAGTTACTATTGCTGTATTTTTTCACCTGAAGACGATTGCTTGTTTTGAGATCGAAACGTCGTGATATATTGTTTTTCTACCTACGTGACTTTACCGAAAGAACCAAAGAGTATGGATTCCCGCAGTCACGAAAGCTTCAAATCAAGCCGAATGCACTCCACTCTCGGGTATGGGCAGGATCATAAGTCTTAACCAAAGCTGATCCAACTGCCTACACAACTTAAGTCCTTTATTTGTCATAACGGCATGCATAATACAGTGAAACTGCTCTCTTACCTTCATTATTATTTGTGACCTACCAATGTCTGCAGGCAGGATCAATCATGACAATCCTATTACCTGCAGATATTTAACAGATGATAACACTTCTCTTGTCCGTATGTATCTGTGCAGATAGGTTTTTTTGGGGGGTTAAGCTATAGTCCCATATACCGCTCGTATCAATGCGGATAAGAGGAGCGGCGACCCACTACTCTGTAGAGTAACATTGGTATAAACGCTTGTTATAATATGAACAGCGCATGGAAAACGCGTACTATTTGATGTACCGTTTACAAAGTGTGTTCACAAATCCACACTGAGAAACACGATGATTGACGGAGGGGTGTAAATTATACTGGTAGGAACGAAGTTAAACTGAGTGTACCAGCCTGCAATAGAATATGTGTCCGTCCGTCCATCCGTCCCCTTTCAATACTTTAACGATGTGAAATCTCGTGCTGTTGGGTGTAAAATCAGCAATAGACAGCGCAGAGACTTGATATGTCTTATTGCACCCAACATTTGGAAGTCACGTAACAGGAATGCGTAACAATGTCATAAAATTGCGCAAAATTCCAATGTTCCTACCAGCCCACCCTGCAGGGACCTGTTTTTTTTCGATAGTGCATTTAGATAGAGGTACTGCAGGTAAGTAATTTTCAGTTTTAAAGGCATAGTTTCACAAGTCAACACTTGCCACCATCCTTCAAACCCATTGGTGAAAAGAGCAAAGTGTTTGTTTACATTGTAATATAATGTTTATGCGAGAGCAGGGGGCTTAAGAGACCCCGGGATCCCACCATACGGTTCATGTGTGGGTTAATGTTATTATTTGTCCACCACCATGATGATGATGATTGCTACTGGGTTAATGTTTACTCGACTTGGGGAAAGATCCGTGGTCGGGGTCATTGCAAGCTGGCTGAGCCGAAGTGGTGGATGGGGGGAGGCGCCATGGGGGGGGGGGGTGAGGGGGTCGATGGGAGAGGGGATTGTGGAATTTGGTGGGGGAGGGCGATAGGGGATGGGGTAGTGGGATTTGGTGGTGGGGGGGGGGCGCATATCTTCAGCTCAACGTAGTTATTTTGTAAGACTCACACACAATTACACATAGCTGTTGATAATGCTGCCTTGGCAGTGTTGTAAGCACATGTGTGACAACTTAACACGATAATCAATCAAACCATCGCACACCATGATGATGATGATTGCTACTGATGCTGCTACGTTAAGCCAATTTCCTCATCATCAGCCATGATCGAAACACAAAGTGCTACCGATTTTATAGGCTCCGCTGGGTTGAGGTTCTGGGTCAACCGCCCAAATCATGATTTAAACTCGTCCCAGCAATGCATCACTAAGCGGATTGTATACATTATCGTATCATTCACCTCCCAAGAGCAGAACTTTTACCCATAACGTCGCATGCCAGCAAAATTGCATAATGTAGTTTCAACATTTTAATGTTGTATAAGTAAAGGCTTTCTTACGCAGGCTCAAGATGCAAGTCAGCTCTAGCCTCCCACAAATCACGTGACTTCTGTGTGGGCCCCCTGCCCGACTCAGAATCCCTCGGCTCTCTCCACCGTGCCACCCAGACCTGCTTGTTGTGTGTTGTCCCCCCTCCACCTCTGATTGGCACGGTCGGCTACATACGGTGCAAAAGAAGTTCAATATACGTGTGTAGTAGAACCCCTCTTAATGACGGTAATTGGTTGAACGAAACCGGTCGTGAAGCGATTTGGTCGTTAAAGGCTTAATTCGTTCAGATGGCATCGGAAGTTACCCCTTTTCACCCAAAAAACGTACTTTATAATAAATAAACAATGGATATTTATACGTAAAGATACTAACAACATTATAAACACATATTATTAAAAGAAACACTGTTAATGAATATTTACTGTATCCTGCAACAGCCCGTCGTTAATAGGGGAATGGTCGGTAAGCGAACACACAGGGCTCTATGGAGGCACTACACTTCTATACACTACACTATACACTACACTACTATATACTACACTACTATACACTACACTACTATATACTACACTGTACATTACACTATACACTACACTAAACACTACACTATACACTACACTACTATACACTACACTACTATATACTACACTATACACTACACTACTATACACTACACTCCTATACACTACACTCCTATACACTACACTATACACTACACTACTATACACTACACTACTATACACTACACTACTATACACTACAATACTATATACTACACTACTATACACTACACTATACACTACACTATACACTACACTATACACTACCATACACTATACATTACCATACACTACAATACACTATTCACTACCATACACTTCACTACCATACACTACACTACACATTGTTTGACACTGTTTGACCTCCAACCATCTATGAATACAGTTTGGGTGCGAGAAGAGAGGTAATTTTTTAACCATTCTACTGCGTGTTTGGAGAAACGGAGCCAACTTAGTTTACTAAGCAGGGTATTGTGGTCTACTGTATCAACAGCTTTGGACAGGTCTAGAAAAAGATAGGCACAGTACTGCTTATTATCAAGGCTACTGTAAATGTGATTCAGAGAGTCTGATGCAGCAGATGTGGTGCTGTATTTTTTTCGGAACCCAGATTGGTTTCGATGTAATAGATTGTGGTCGGACAGGAAACTGCTAATTTGGTAGTTCAATCATTTTTCAAAAATTTTCATTAACGGGGACAAGATTGAGATAGGTCGGTAGTTATTTGGATCATCTTTAGGGCCCCCTTTGTGAAGTGGACGAACATAGGAATGTTTACATTCTCGAGGTACTGATGCTTCTTTGATGGACAGGTTGAAAATATGGGCTATAGGTTTGTACCATACTTCTCCGCACACACGTGTCTGCTCTCCTCCTTCGCCAAACCCACATGGACCATTGTGGTGATGTATGGTCATGAAAGAGAGAGAGGTTAAGT